CGCCCGTGGGCTGACCGGAGGGCGGCCGTGCCCGGGGCGCCCCGCGCCGCTCCGTGTCTTCTCCGGCCTCGCCCGGAGCCGGGCTGAGTGCTACGGTCCTGCGTCGCCTCTCGGGGGGGATAACGGGCCTCCCCGAGCACGGGTTCCACGGCGCTGGGCTGAGCGGGAGGAGTGCGGGTCACGGTGCGGCGTTAAAAGTGGTGTGGAAGAACGTACGTGAGGCGTCTGGTCCCCTTGGCCCGGTTGATGGGGACGTTTCCCTGGCAGCAGAGCTCTCATTTGAAAGTTAGTTCGTATTTCGCCCTGTCTGAGGTCACCAAGCTTAGATCTTTCTCTTTGAGAGGGAGTTCAAGCTGGAAATCTGAGCGTCAGCGTTTACATGTCATCCCGAGGGAAAAACATGAGTAAATTCCCAGCCTTTGGTGTCTTTTCCCTGAGTGGAACACTGATGGGGCATTCGGTAACAAGTGTCAAAAGAGCTAATTGTGTTCGTTTGACCAGGGCAAATGGTGGAAGGAGTTCTGGGTCGTTCTTACTGTGAGTCCTAAGGGTTCGTCAGAGGAAACATGAAAGCAAATTCGATATATTGCATTTATAAAACACACAAAGACAATGCATCAGTTAGCTAAATACATTTCTGAGTTGCTGTTTCAGCTATTACCTTTTTCTTGTCTAGAGAAAGTCCACCAGGCATTCTGGTTCTGTCTGAATTACCCACATGAGCGCAGAATTGCCGTGAAAAGGAGCTGAGTGTGGATCTTTCTGCATCGGGATTTTTCTGAAGCCAGGGCAGCGCTCTGCACATCTGCCAAAGTCCTTTGAGGATTGCTTAGGATGAAGTAAGGATACTGAACTTATGGTTTTATTAGGCCTAATAAAAGCTGGTAATTTGATACTGCATGTGAGGAAGGTGCAAGTTACCACCACAAATGTGAACCTTTCGCCGATGGCTTGAAAACTGCCGTTGTGCCATATAGCCTGCGTTTGCAGGAGGAATGTCCTAAAGCGGAAATGAAAGGGAATTTTTCGGTGTATGTTTTTGTCTGGTACATGTTTCTGTCACCAGTAGGTGGCTTTGTACCCATCTGCATGAGTTTTTACTCATGTTTTTACTCAAACCCCAGCATGCAAGCACAGCACTCAGTTTGAAATCGCCTCAAAGTAGAAAGTCTGAGACATAATTACAGTAGTTTAATCTCCTGGACTGCTTGAACAAAGAAGGATCCAGTTTATGGAAAGAACTGTGACTACTGGGAAGACAGTAATGTTCGTATTATGGATTCAAAAATTATCTGTCCCCAACAGCCAGACAGTTTTATCTAACAAATTACAGTGTCTGTGCATTAGGATATACTGAACATAGCTTCCACCATAGCCCTGCTCACGTGCCCAAAACGCTCCTTCTAATGGCTCCTGGTTTAAAAAAAAAAACAAAAACAAAACCCAAAATCCTGTGCCTTACCAAATGGCTCAGAACCCGTAAGGCAACAAGTACCTTGTGGCCACAACTGAAAGAGGGCAGATTTAGATTGAATATAAGGGAGAAATTCTTCCCTCTGAGAGTGATGAGGCACTGGGACAGGTTGCCCAGAGAAGTTTTGGCTGCCCCATCCCTGGAAGTGTTCCAGGCCAGGTTGGATGAGGCTTTGAGCAACCTGGTGTAGTGGAGGGTGTCCCTGCCCATTGCAGGGGGGGTGGAACTGGAAGATCTTGAAGGTCCCTTCCAACCCAAACCAGTCTGTGATTCTATGAACATGGTAATAGAAGTTGATGCTCTTATGGGTGAAGGCTAGGTCTGAATTAAAGAATCAAGATGGTGTAGGTCTGTGGTTTGGTTCACAGTCACAAACCTGCGCTCTGAATTGTGCTGTCTGCCTGTGACTTCCCAGCCTGGGGATTGCCGAGGTCTTCTAGAGTGTTCCCTGTAGCTGTTTCTGTAGCCATACTGTAAAAAACAGATGGATCTCACACATAGCGTAGGAAACCCTGCATCATCACCTCTACACGTCCCGAGGTTCTCGATTCCCTGCTGTTGGATTGGCTTCATGCATGAGAAGGTTTGTCGTGGGATGTGGGTGTAGAGCTAGACCCTAACCAACCCAAGAATGACATTGAGATTTTCAACAGGACCTTCCTCAACCTTTACGTGAAGGGACCTGGGTCTAGGATGGGTATGAGCAGTGTAAATAACTAATGGGTTTGCACGCACTTCGACATCCTACTCTTAGGAGGCCATGTTCCTCTTCACTTGCCGTTTTGCTCAGCAGCAGCTGCAGTACTACATGGAGATATCCTGGAGCGTTCCAGTATTGACAGCTGGATACATCTGTGCTCGTGAGCACTTCTTGAGTTCAGTCCATGGCAGTTGGGGCAAGCTTGGGCCCCTGACATGCCACAGATAAGGAACTGTTCCTTGTTGACGCCTCTTGGGCTTTTTATCTCTCAGAGTTTTTATTCCTGCCCCCCACACACACCTCCTTTTCTATTGGTTTGAGGTTACTGGGACGTTTTTATAGAAAAAAAGTATTAATGTGTTTGTGCTTAGCGTAGTCTCGTGCACAATGCCTCCTAATTACCCCAACTTCCGAAAAAACGTGCCATGGCTAATCATTTTTCTGGAAGCTGCTTTCATCGTCCTCTTTTACTTTTTGCCCTCAGGTGATTGTATGGCTGAATTCAGCAGCTCCTCCTACCCAGGTGAGACTGGCAGCCTTGCTGTGAGAGGAAGGTTTAATGTGTGCTTTTATTTTGCAGTGAAGTAGAGATGGATTCAGCAGTTTTGTGTATTTGTTAATGAGAAGCAAAATGTTTTTGCTGCTCTTTCAGTGCCCTCCCTTGCTATGTATGGTGTATATTTATTTATATCAAAGCAAAGGCAGTGAAGGAAGACATAAATTGCATTGCTGGTCTGTTTTCTGCTGCCTGTTTATGGTAATCTTGACTCCTACAAATGTAACAAACTTCTGAGGGCAGGCACTGCTCTGTGTTTAGTGCCCGTGAGGTCTCGGCATCAGAAGGCATTGTGCTACAATGTAAGAATTCAGTATTTTCAATATTATATATTCAACTTCATTGTGTTTTCAGTTCATGTTCTATGTTTCCCTGCCCCTGGCAGGGGGGTCGGAACTGGATGGTCTTTGAGGTCCTTTCCAACCCAAATCATTCTGTGATTCTATGATTTTCCATTTGAAGGCTTGATGTAAATAAATTAAGAGAATACAGTGGAATGAAGGGGTTAAGTATAGTCTGGAGATGTATTTTGTCCGTTGACCAAAGGAATGTGTTAGCAGAGTGTGCTGTGGCCGTAGTGTGTAACGATTTGCAGTGTTGTGCAAGGATGAGCTGATCAATCCTCACGACAGCCTTGTGTTACCCTCCCTGTTTCATCGCTAGAAGAATGAGACCGACTTCCTAGCCGTGCTGTATGTAGAGGCCACCACAACCGTCTGGGAATATGACTGTTACCGTGTCCCGGGGGACACTTCCAGGCCTACAGATCCAAGACCTTGTATCTTGGACAGCCTCTTCCTTTATGCAATGGTGCTGGTTTCCATATTAAACTCTTTCTACTGCTATTTCTGTTCTTATTCCTTCTGCCCAGATGAGGACATCATACAGATTTCTCTTTGTAACTCATTTCTTCCCTGATGCCCTCAGGGGATGAATCACCACTAACTCACAGCAACTCTTCCTGAAAAGTCCAATTTAAGCTCTTTAAATTCACCTCTGGAAAAACGTATGTCCAGTTTTTATTGCTAAATATACTTTATCTCTGTCCTACTTTTCGATCCCTCAACCCCCATCCTATGACATCCATTCTGATCATTTTGTACAATTAAATTTAGGGTTGAGGGTATTGTTTTTCTGATTACTGATGGATTAGATAGAAAGCTCTGGAATTCTTTACAAGCACTAAATAATAATGGCACCTGAATTTTTATCCGAAGTCATCTTAGTTAATTGTGATTTTTTATTTTATTTCTTAATCAGAAATCCAGTCTGCATTAATAAATTCACTGCTGTCCTGGTCTTTCCTGTCATGCAGCTTTTCAAGATGTCAGCCACATGGTGATTTTTGGATTTGGCTTTTTCCTGACGTTTCTGAAAAGATACGAGTTTAGCAGCACTGGATTCAACCTCCTGATCATCGTACTTGGTGTCCAATGCTCCGTGCTGATAGAAGATTCATTAGTTTTGCTTTTTGGTGGGCAAGTCAAACTTTGTCTGAGAAGGTAATTAGTTTCTGTTAGAACTGGAATAATCCAGAACTGCTGATTTCTCTTTGTGAAGGGAATGCCTTCTTATACAGACTTAATTGCAAATTAGCGCAGTCATATTTGCAGACATTTTAGAAGGCCTTGGGTTTTTAAGTACATTTTACTGTCTGTCATTCTTTCTTCCTTGGCCCTGGTGGGGGTCTTGATACAGAATTAGTGGGGTTTTTTTCCCTTTCTTTTACTGCAGCATAATAAAGGCTACTGTGAGTATGACTGCCGTGGTCATCTCCACTGGGGCAGTTCTTGGAAAGACTAATCCTGTGCAATTAATTCTGATGACATTTGTGGAGATAATAGCTTTCCGTATGAGCAGATGGATCAACACCACAGTCCTGCAGGTATGATTTCCAGGCACATGGGAGACAGTTTCTCTGGGACTTGGGATCGTTGTCTTTTGGTGGTTTGTTAGTGCTGTGCTGACAGGAGCAGCAGGGTGTTTTATCTCGTCTCAGTTAGGCTGTGGCTGTGTTTTCATTAAGAGCTGAAGTCTGACTTTGGGACTACACTGAAGCACGTCGAACTCCCAACCCCGTGTGCTCGGTATCCGTACAGTTTGGCTGTTTCTTGGCCGTAAAGGCTGAGCTGATCTGATGGATCGTGATGCAGCACGTTTGGCCTTGCTTGTGCCCTGACCATCCCCAACACATGAATGAAAGCCTTGACCTATGCTGAGGCACTAATTGCCTTTCAGCTTTGCCCCCTGCCTGTGTCAGTTCGGTCTGGAAGGTTTCCAGTGTGAATGGTGTACCAGCCCAGTCTGGACAGCAGCATTAGACCTGCGTTTAACATACAATGTAAACATACCCCACACTCTCTGTGTATGAACTGTGTGTTTATGGGCTGCGCTGAGTTTAGATAAATTAATCTCACAGAAATAACTCATGCTTAAGCTGTGGGACTCTGAAAATAAATGGCTTATAGGACAGTTACATGAGCAGCTGTATCAGGAACAGCACCAAAGGCTTCCTGTGGGAAGAAATAAACCACAAATTTGATTATTGATACAGATTTCAGAAAATATCAGCATGATGCATGTTCACCTGTTCGGAGCCTACTTTGGTCTGATGTTCTCCTCACGCTTCCCCGAGCCATCACCGAGGTCTGAGAAGAATGCGAGTACCCCAAAGTCGGATTTATTGTCAATATTGGGTAAGGCACTTGCTTTAACACCTCAGTTGGAAGAAGAGATTGCAGTGGGAACATCAGGAATGTTTCTGGGGGCTGGCCACAGCACACTGAAGCTTTTGCATCTGAAGTGAGGGTCTGAATGCAGCCAAGCATAGAAAACTGCTGCCACTGTGGCTCATGGTTTCTGACAACAAGCTGGTGAGTCTCAGCATGTTTCCTACCAGGCATGTAAGCCACTCCTGCAGCGACTGTGGCTTAGTTTGGTTTTGTCAGTCTCAGCATAAAGGCTATGCCAGGTTAACCATTCCCTCTCCCAGCTCAGTTGTCCCCTTTGGGCTTGTATAGGCATGTTGGTGAGGGACCCGTGCGCCAAAGTTGAGGTCGTTACTTGTATTTCAGTAGTGCCCACAGTTCCCAGCAGGGGCCAAGGCTCAGTTTCGTTTTGCAAGGTGCTGTTTAGAGATATAAAAAGGCAGTCCCTGCCTAGGAATGTAAATGAAAAGATAAAAGCCTGATGAAGGGCGGGGAATATGACACAGACAGGCACACGAGAAAGGATCTGAGTGATGATAGGCTGAATGTATAGGAGTTCCATTCTTTTTCTTAAAGAAGCAGTTTAATTTCTTTATTATCACGACTTCTGTTATGTAACTGCCACCAGCTGAACTCAGATCTCTCTGCGAAGGCCCACGGAGTCTAAT